AAAATAACAATCACATAAATGTCACATTACTTGTACCTCTGGGCCAGATGACCTAGGATCACGACAAGGTTGAATAAAAATATCTGGATGTCACATTACTACAATTCGCAACAATTATCACAGATGCATACAGTTGCCTTATCTGCAAGTATTACAGGTCTATAGAATGATATCAGTGCTTCCATTCCCCTGGAAAAAAGGTGGAGCCTTTAGGTAGCCAGCACCTAAGAATGGAATGTTAATTACTAAATAGGGCAACTTGCTCTGTCCTGAACAATTTTGATGACTGGAATCCCAGAGAAGACTAACTGCTGGATTATGGAAGATTGAAGGATAATTTGATTAACTTCTTTCAACATCCTACAAAACTCAATGAAATAGATAAAGAAACACTCTTTCAGTTCCAAGATGAGACTATGACAAAGGTACACAACCTTTAACTCAGACTATTCCAGTGAGACATTAGGAAACATTTGTTCACAGGTGATGGAAATGCAGAGTTCCTCCCTCAAAGGAGAGCTCAGTTCACAACTTTAAAGCTGAAATTTATTGATTTTTGCTAGACAGAGGTATAAAAGGAATTAAAGGAATGTGGGCATTGGGTACAGATCAGCCATGACCTCACTAACTGGAAATACAAGGTCAGGGGGCTGAATGGCCTACCTCTGTGCGTACCTTCTTTAATATTTCCAAATTAACGGTTGAGATGACCATGTTTTTGACCTACAGTAAAAGCACAAGTAGTTAGGCTTAGCAGTCATCCCAGAAATAAAAATGACCCTGTAGGCTGGTTCGTAAACCTGGAGGTCAGTCACCTGATGGCCTATTATCGGCACTTTATTTGCATATATTCAAGATAAAGATTACAAAACTGAGCACAACAATCTGACTAACTTGAACAGTACATTATATTTACAAGTGCTGGGTGTCCATTACAAACTGCCCATTCAAGGTTATCCATACTATCTTTTGCAATAACATGAGATCTGTAAATTCTAATCTTAGGAATGTTTCTTGGGGGTACAGAGTTCTTTATTATGCTGCAAAAAGTAATCTAACTCCAAGAGTGATTCTTCCTCACATTTCTAATTTTCTCCAACATTACAATACTTTTAGACATCTGCTTTTCTCTAATTGAGACCTCTTGATTTCAATCACTCCATTATTAGTGACGATACCCTTAGCTGCCTAAGCCCAATCACCTAGAATTCACTCCCAAAACATCTCCTCTTAACCTCTCTCACCTTGTTCATGACCATCTTTTATCTCTTTAACCAAGCCAATGGTCATGCAACCTACTATCTCCTTTCATTTTGCTTATTTGAGTATTTTGTTTGATAGCATTCGTGATCTTGGGATGTTATGTTGTATTGACGATACTCTAGATGCATCAACTTATTTTCGCAATCATTTTCCATCATCCCCAGTTTAAATGCTTGCCAATTAACAGATTTTGACAACAACACTAAGCAAAATCACAAGCAATATTGCAAGCTGCTATCATGCAAATAAAGCTAAGAGAAAACACATATACAGGTCCTAGAAATTGTCACAGCATGGCTAGATGAAATTGACAGCTCGCCAAATAATTCTATTTCAACTAGAGTTAAGAAGATTAAGAAATTATCTCATTGAAGGAAGAAAACATCAAGTTATTGTTTGCCATGGCTGGGGAGTTTAGAACATAGGGAGAGAGTCTCAGAACAAGGGCCGATCATTTAGGACAGGATTGCGAATAAAGTTTTCCCTGAAAGGCTGTCAATGCTCCATGTGTATTTAAGGCTGAGACAGACAGACTTGTGGTATATCAGAAAATCAAGGAGCACATGGAAAAATTGAGGTAAGGCAGTAATTCAACTATGACTGTTTTCAATGGCAGAGTAGGCATGAGCTGGCTCCATGTTTTATATTCTAATAATGCCTTTTAGACACCAATGTGTGTTTCACACGCTCTCCATTCAGTTCCTATGCATTTATTGTTAACATTTGCCAAATGGTCCACTTATAGAACTTCAGAATTGACTATGTTGATACATTATTCTCCCACATCACAATGCTACAAAAGTTTTAGTCTTTTAAGAATACCAACTGTATCAAAGTTATTGCTGTGATAATATGCAAATTCAGTAATTAAAATGAATTCAGTCTCCATTTAATTGTCGAAACTTAGCAGTTCTTGACATGTGAGTGTATTCAAGTGAATTGTGTGTGTCATTGTTCAAAATAAGTTGGATGATACACGTTGTTTTATAAAGACAGAAGCTTTACATCATATGATGCCAAGTTTGACATTGCTAAGATGAAGCTGAGGTCCTTTAAGACCATAGGATTAATTAATTGGCTCATAACATAACTGTTTGATGAATTTTGCAGCCAAGATAAAGCTTAATTGTGTTTCAGCCTGCAAGTCATGACATAGATTTAAATGTCTGGCAAAAACAAAAACACAAGATTACTTCAACAATCCACAGTCTACAGACATGCTGACACATGTTAACAAGGTACCCTCTGTTCATGTCGTTCACTGAAAATTTCAGGCTTTAAGTTCTAAAATTATCAGAAAATATTTGGAGATGGTTCTGTTAGGAAAGGACTGAACAAAGGCATAGCATAAATCTGCTATTGGCTTGGAGTGTTTCAAAACTGTTCTGGTGAGCGTTATCAAAAATTTATAGGGAAGTATCATTCTCAAAGTCTACTCTCTTCAAATCACTAATTAACAGTTGTGCAATTACACAGCAATTCTAACATGGTCATTACTGGTCTTATGACCTGGGACTGACACTTATATCACTGGTGTTTTTTCATATGAAGTAATCACCTGATTAATGGGATAAGTTCATTGGGAACGTGCCAATGTGTGTTGACCTCAGATTTGAGAGAACTGTAGTACTGATCTGTAGCTGCAAGAACACTAGTTAATCCTGCAAAAGAAAACATCTGCATAAAACATTTCTTTTTAAATTAAAGCCTCTGTAGGACATGACGACCAGCATAGTGATTACAGGGTATAAAATCAAACCCAGACTTATAGTTAACAGTTTCACCTGGTCAAACAGCAACTAAATATATTTGGAAATAAACAAATGGGCATAAGCGCAAGGCAATACACGAATGTAAAGGGGTAAGGGATTCTTAGTTTGTTGACTTGAGTTATCAATGATGTTTAGGTTCTTAGTAGTTTCTCCCTAGACTTTTAATGTGATACAATTCGACCAGTTTGTCATGAAGACAGCTGATGGTCACAAAGAAGGAATTGGCAAGAACACTTTAAAAAGTACTAACTCTTTAAATGCTTCCAAAAATATGGATATCAAGAGTTTGACTAAACTAAGTATTAAGCTAAGAACTGTAAAGCGTTTAAGTCCCTAACCATCAGATGTGGTTGTAGGCACTATATGATTAAGTTGATGTTCAAAGAATGAGTGTTAAGACCATATCGATCATGAAGGATGAGTAGAACACCTAATCATACATTCTCTAATATTATAACCAGATATAAAAAAGCATGTAGAGTAAAATGTCATTACTGTTAAGAAAGTGAGAGCAAGGAGACATATTACCAGGAAATGCACTAATTATCTGAGGAAGTTAACTTGTCATGTAATGCTGAATGCCTCCAACCTTGAACCTAAAATTTGAAGGGATTTTCCAATTCACAAAAGGTCCATTATAAGAACAAAAATTCTGTAACAAGGCCTAATGGTACATTTAATAAATTGTTAGATACTGGTCTTAAACCTTTGGCCACAGAATATATTGCACATTACATTGGCCAAAGTTCTTTAGATAAAGAAAAACACAATTTGATTTACCAACATCAGTGGTCTACATGTTTGTGGACTTCCAGTCCACAAACCCTATTCTCCATCTACAATTTTTGAGACCATTTCAGAATCATAGAAAGCAAAAGGAGACCATTTGATCATCTGTGTTACGTCTTGGAAAGTAAAGTCATCATCTTGGAATTACTCCTCAGTTAGCCATGTGTTTTCTCCATGAAACTGCACATGCATCCTGGCTATGTTCAATTTATTTTTAAAAGTTATCACTCGATCGGTTTCTATTATGCATATTATAACAATTTGGTTAAATTGCTCATCACATTTCTCTGGTTCTTTTGGTGACTACTTTAAATTTATGCACAATGATAACCAACTTTTCTATTAGTGGGAAATGCAAGTGCAGTGCTAGAGTTGAGAAAGAGACAGAGGCTGGGGTTGATAGGAGCAGGGACAAAGGCAGGCATCAGGAATGGAAGTGGGGGAGGGGAGGGCAGCACTAGGAGCCGATCTCCTGACCGTCCAGTGGGAAGCAAGGGGACTTGAAATGAAACGTGTCCATTTTTATATTAAAAAAAAATTTAAAATTTGATGAACTTTTCTGAACACTTCATGGAGCACCACCTCCAAGATCATCTGCAGGTGCAATTTATATGAATCACAGCAATACTAAATTCCTGCTCAAATCACAGCAATGCAACTTCTCCATATAATTCAATTCTAGACATTACCAAAGGCTTTTATCCCTGGTAACTTCTCTTTGTACCCTCTCCAAGGAATTGCCAACCTTCCTAAATGTGATGCCCAAAATTGTCCACAAACTCCAGCTGAAGCTTAACTAGTTATTTTCATACCTAACATAACTTCCTTGCTTTTGTATTCTATGCAGCTATTAGTAAAACCCAGTATCTTTATTTTTATAAGTAGCCTCACCAACTTGTCTTGTCATCTTCAAAAATTTATAAATGTGGATTCCCATGTATCCTGCACCATATTTTGTAAATGATGGATTCTGATTATGTGATCTCATAAACAAAGTACAAAGAGATAAATTATCCATTGCCATTTATTAGAAAAAGACTGATGAAAAGCCCATTTGGTTCTATTAAGTTTCCCCCTCTTGTGCCGTAAATCTCTAAGCTGAAGTCGTATTTTTAACATTCCGAATGTTTTGAAGTAGAAATCTTCATTAGTGAATAATATATACATGTTGCTTACCTATGGAATGAGAGCCACTTGACACCTTCGCATAATACTACACCGGATGTCATAAGAACTTCTGCAAAGTACATTGTATCAATTCCTTCCTCCTCATGTTTTTTAAACTGGATGCCGGAAGTTGTAAGGAGTTCTATTGAGTCTTGAGCATACATGTCTTCTCTAAAATCAACAGGAAAGGTTTGTAAAGAAAAAGAAAATGTAAACAAATGTACTTGTGACAACACAACCTACAACACAATATACAAAATTGTAAATCTATTTGTTATTCATGATATAGAGTCACACAGCACAGAAACAAACCCATTAGTCTAACTTGTCCACGCCAAGATATCCCAATATGACCTAGTCCCACTTGCCAGTATTTGGCCCATATCTCTCTAAACCCTACCTATTCATATGCCCATCCAGTTGTCTTTTAAATGTTGTAATTGTACCCATCTCCACCACTTACTTTAGCAGCTCATTCCATACATGTAGCAACTTCTGCGTGAAAATGTTACCCATCAGATCTTTTTAAAGTCTTTCCCCTCTCAGCTTAAACCTATGCCCTCTAGTTATGGACGCCCCCACCGTAGGAAGATGATCTTGGCCAATCACCCAATCCATTCTCCTCATGATTTTGTAAACCTCTATAAGGTCACCCTCAGTCTCTGACACACCATGGAAGAAAGCCCCAGCCTATTCAGTCTCTCCCTTTAATCAAATTCTCCGGTCCCATCAAAATCCTCGTAAACCTTTTCTGCGCCCTCTCAAGTTTAATCTTTCCCCGAGAAGGGCGACCAGAATTGTACATAGTATTCAAAAGTGGCTTCACCAATTTCCTGTACACCCGCAACATACATCCCAACTCCTATACTCCATGTTCTGACCAACGAAGGCAACCATGCCAAATGGCTTCTTCACCACCCTATCTACCTACAACTCCACTTTTAAGGAACTACACACCTGCATCCCTAGGTCTCTTCGTTCGGCAAACTCCACAGGGCCCTACCATTAATGAATAGGTTCTGCCCTGGTTTGCCTTACCAAAACGCACACCTGACATTTATGTCAATCAAACTCCATCTGCAACTCCTCGGCCCATTGGCCCATCTGATCAAGGTCCTGTTGTGCTCTGAGATAGTCGAAGTTTGGCTGTGAAATACATTTTTTATGGTCAAAGTGAAACATTCCCAAGATTTTTAAATTAAGATATCGGATTTGCTTTTGCTCAGTCACAATTTTAATCTATTCATTTATGTTCCATCAGTTGATGGGAATTCATGAAGATAACACTTAAGCAAAAAAAGTTTCCTTATTTGAATTCTATCCAAAGTGGGCTAAAGCATATTGTCTATGAACAATTCATATAGTGAAAGAAACAGGATATTCTGATGCATCTTTCCATTACTGTCTTCCTTGATAATGCATGATCAACATTCAAAAAAAAGTTCCAGCAGAGCTTTTAACAGAAAGTAACTGGTAAGTCTACAGATCTTAACTCAAAGTATTTTAAAACTTCACACATTTAATGTTACACCAGTTGATCTCAAATGGTAATTATGCATTTGTACATCGTACTCTAATAGCAAAGAAAAACTAATAATTCATTAATATTAAAATGTTTTGTTTGAGTGATTGTATGACAGCATAAGTGTTATGCTTGCAAGGGTCCTTCCATGTTGCTAACCAGTCCAGGTGATGTAGAATGATCAGCACCTTATAGAACCACCCTCGAGGTCTTCTCTCAATAAACTGAGAGCCCTGTGATCGCATCCAAGTCACTGCCTGTTCTTGACCAGAGGATCAGCTGTGCCAACTTTCAAATCAAAACTCAGCCCAAATGAGAGTTCTTCTGCTTACTAGCCCTTCTTCCAGATGATCAAGGAAATTGAAATAAATCTGAACACATGAATTTATATTCCTACACAGAATCATCTTGAACTAGAAAATTTTAGAGAATGTTCTGCCATAGACCAGGATGTGTACTGCTAATCAGAGAGTAATAAACCATCAACACAATGTCTTCAACAGTTGGACAAACCAGACTAAGCAGCAAACAAACAACAGATACTCAGGTGCACTTACGTAAGATTAAATTTGAAGTTGAATTGCCACGTGGAAGTGCCTGGAGGGTACTCGCCCTGTTCATTTACAAATGTCAGGCCCAGCTGTATGATCTTCAGCAAATCTACATTACAGCGCAATAGTTGGTACTGATAGTCTGCATTACTTCGGAATTCTCCAATTGGTCGCGCTACAACACCTGGAAATTCTGTGTCCTGGTAAAGTTTTGAAAAATCAAAAATTTTTAAAAATGCTTTTGAACAGAAAAATAATTAGTCAGAACTTTGAAAATAATTGATTTCACCCCTCCGTAAGCAAAGCACTATATTTAGAAAGAGCTGACCAGAAATTACCATGATTAAAATAATCACTGCATGTTATTTGTCTAGCAAGGGAATGACAACACAAGCTTTATTCTCCCATGGAAACGCAAATGGAGATTTAAGAAAAAACAGGAAGTGCTATAGAAACAGAGTTACGGCATCACCTTTCTATAGTTCCTGCCATACAAGAATTTTTCAAGCACTTTGTTTTTATTTCCAATATCTAGCATCTGCAGTATTTTGTTTTAAATGGAGGCTCACCTGGTTGTACCAAATGATCATCAGTATCCCTAACTAATTTAAGGAATCTCTAACCAAGCAAGAGGCACTATACAAAGGTTTGCAATATTTTAAGGTTCTTGAGTAGATTTCTAGCTCAGGTTGTGGATGCTGTGGTTGGTTCACTCGTGGAGCTGGCTCATTAGGTTGCAGATGTTTCATTACCCTGCTGGGTAACATCATCAGTGCAGCCTCCAATGAAGCATTTGTTGTACTTTCCTGCTTGCTATTTAAACTCTGGGGTCCACTGGAGTTGATCACTTCATTTACAGTTTTTCTTTGAAGTGGTGTATATATAGGGTCTAATTCTACTTATTTATTGATGGCCCTCTTGGTGGAGAACCAGGCCTCTAGAAATTCCCGTGCATGTCTGTTTGGCTTGTCCTAAGACCCCGACGTTGTCCCAATCAAACGGGTGGTTCTCCTTGTCTGTATATATGGAGACAAGTGAGTATTGGTCATGTCTTTTTGTTGCTAGTTGGTGCTCATGTATTCTCGTTTTCTTCCTGTCTGTCCAATGTAATGTTTGTCGCAGTCTTTGGATGGAATCTTGTATATTACGTTGGGTCTGTCCATAGCGGATAAGGGGTCTTCAGTTCTTGTTAGCAGTCGGCATAGGGTTGATGTAGGTTTGTGTACCACTCTGATCCCCAGTGGCTGTAGGAGTCTTGTGGTCAGTTCAGATACGTTCTTGATGTACGGTAATGTGTCAAGTGTGTCGGGGCGTACTGCATATGTGAATATGTGAACACCAACTAGCAACAAAAAGACATGACCAATACTCACTTGTTTCCATACATACAGACAAGGAGAACCATCAGTTCAATTGGGACAATGTCAAGATCCTTGCACAAGCCAAACATGGACAAGCATGGGAATTTCTAGAAGCCTGGATGTCCACCATGAAGGCCATCAATAAACACATTCAATTAGACCCTATATACACACCAATGCATACAAAAACTGTAAATGAAGTAATCAACTCCGATGGACCCCAAAGTTTAAATAGCAAACACGAAAATACAATAACGCTTCATCTGAGGCTGCACTGGTGATGTTACCCAGCAGGGTAATGAAACGTCTGCAAACTAATGAACCAGCTTGGGAAGCAAACCAACCACAGCATATTTTATTAAAATAGGAAATCTATAACAAGTCTGCCATTGCCAAAGTTCAAAAAAACAACTTTAAAAATCATCCTTAATGAACAAATTAAACTTGTCATTAAATTCTTGGTTGGTTCAAGCCTTGGCAGCTAGCATGCATGGTTTTGAATCAGACTTATACTACAGTCCTTCTGTGGAATTCACAACTATTGATAGCACGCAATAAGTTATTCTGAAATACCCAAACAACTCTTCCACACCTTTGATGTATATAGGAAACTTAAAAATTTCACAATTTTGGAATGACACTGAAAGCCTGTGTTAACACTGCTATGTTAAACTGATTATGTAATCAAAGGGACTCTTTCAGAGTTAGGTTTAAATGCATTGCTGCATCTGGGACATGCTGCGAAAGCCTGGAAGTTCCTGATGCAGACATTTCCTGCTGCACTGAAGAGCTCAGCTGTGCTTCAATGCCAATGCTCATCAAGTGGAGGAAGATAAAACCTTTGTTGAAACAAAACCTACAGACTGGTTAGTAATAGTTGAATGCTGACCTTGAAGATGTATTTCTAGTAATAAGCTTAGTTTTGTTAGCTCCCAAAACAGAAATAATCTATTCCAACATTATGTGTGTTAAAAATGAAGGAAGTTAGTCAATAAGGTTGCACAATTTTCCTGTTTTTAGTCACACGGAACTATTGCATGACTGGAATCTTCTTGATCCACATTACTCTGGTCAATCCATTCCTGCAATTATTGTTTGAAGACTGTATAAGAAATGCTTTTCAAATGTAACTTTTAATGAAGTGAAGTTATCCTATGTTATAATGTTTCATGTTCCTTTAAGAGAAATGTGCTCCTTGTCCTTCGATGTCTCAGGTTTGAAAAATGCTTTTGAAGGAACTTCAGAGAGTTTAAAAAAAAATTGTTCATGGGATATGGGTGTTGCTGGCTAATCAAGCATTTATTATCCGAAAAGCACTCGAGTTAACCAGATGGGTTTTTACGACAATCAACAATGGTTGCCAGATCAGCTTTTTATCCCCAATTTTTAATTAATTCAAATTTGACCAGTTGCCATGGTAGGAATCAAACCGATGTCCCTACATCACTAGTCTTGGATTTTGGATTACTAGTCCGGTGACATTATCACTTCTCCATCACATCAGACTGCAGTGCATCTTGAACTTGTAGATGGTACAGTTTTGTTAAAATGGTACAGAGTGAATGTTAAGGTGGATGGTATGTCAATCAAGCACAGTGCTTTGTCTGGATGCTGCTGAGCTTCTTGAGGTGTTGCTGGAGCTGCACTCTTCCAGGCAAGTAGAGGGCATTCCAATACTCAAGGACTCACTCCTTGCAGGCGTTAGGGAGTAAGGAGGGGAGTTTCTTGCTGCAGAATTCCCAATGTCTAAACTGTTCTTGCAACTGCAGTGTATGTGCATGGCTGGTCCAGCTACATTTCTGGTCAATTGCATCCTCTAGGAAGCTAAGACTGGCAGATTCAACCAAGATAATATCAAAGGGAGATAGGCATTATATGGCACTTGTGGTCAGCATTGAAGCAGCTGCCTATGTTTAGGTTTAGGACAGGACCTTGAGGAATTCCTGCAATGATGTCTTGGCACAGAGATGATTAACCGAAAGCAATTTCTCTCATTTTTCTCTGTGTTATGTAGGACTTGAACCAGTAATTATAAAAGTAGAGGCAGGCCCTTCAGGTCCACTAATGAAACCACAGCTGATAATAATAATCCCAAACTCCATTTTCCTGTTTTTTCACAATAATACTCAATTCTCTTAAGATTGTAAGTCTGTTTATGGGCCTCAACTTTTACTTAATGACTGAGCCTTAACAGGCCTCTACAGTAAAACCCTCAAAATAATCCATCTTCATCTACGTCTTAAATGATGACTCCTTATTTTGAGATTTATGCCCTCCAATCCTAGATTATCCCACAAGAAACAATTTTCCATATCTACCCTGTCAAGAATCTTATTTATTCCACAAGGTTTACTCTCATTCTTTGTAACTCCAACGAGTACCAGACCAACCAATTCAATCTCTTCTTACAAGACAAGCCCTCCATATCCAGAATCAGTGAATCTTCTCTGAACTGCCTCCAATGTCAGTGCATCTTTCCTTTGATAGGACAGCAAAAATTGTTTACAGTATTCCAACAGTAATCTAATTAGTGCTTTGTAGTGTTTTAACATGCTATTTTTATTACAAGATTTCATCATTCATAGGACCTCCCTATTTTATACTCCATTTCCTTCTCCTTCCATATTACTAATATTGGATGCTAGCCTTTCGATTTGGGCACTAGGACTCGAAATACCTTTATCCTGCAGCTTTCTGCATTCTTTACCCTTTTAAGTAATATTTAGTTCTTCTTTTCCTCCTGCCAACGTGCATAACCTCACATTTTCCTGTATTATATTCCATCTGCCAAGTTTTTAAATCCACTAAACTTGTCTGCATCCCTCTGCAGTCTTGGTGCCATCCTCATTACTTGGTTTTCCACTTTCTAAAAAAAATCATTGGCAAACTCAGCAACAGTGCATTCACTTCCACGAAAGTCACTCAAATACTTTGCAAATAACTGTGGCTCCAGCCCTGATCCCTGTGGTACTCCACCAGTTACAGATTGCCACCTGTAACTGTCAACTTTATCCAAACTCTGTCTTTTACCAGTTAGCAAATTCTCTATCTATGCCAGTACACTACAGCCCCCAACACCATGAGCTTTTATCTTTAGTCTTATGTGTCATACTGAAGAATTTTGACCCTGATTTGAGTTTAGATTGCTCTCCAACATAAACACCTATACAAAAGAAACAAAACTTCTGTGTTTGCATTTTAAAAGCAGTGTATTTTGAGCTGAACATTTTACTTTATATATGGAAAAATATTACAACTTTCAAACAAAACACAATGTACTAGCCAAAGGTACATGGAACCCCACACAATTGTTGATTAAGTTTAACATTTTTGCCAACATTTCTCATTATAAACAAGATATGCCTTTACAATGATCATTGACATAAATTCATGAAATACAAAGCTAAATACCATCAATACTTGAATAATATTTCTCACATTTATCAGATGTGAATGTGGCCAATATGCAACACAAAATGCACAATGATTACAGTCATGGGGAATGTTACTTGTGATTTTGTGTAGTGCTATTTCATTGGTTTGAGACAGGTAGAAACCTGAGTAAACTGATTTAAACAAGGCAATAGATGCTTCAAACCTTGGAAAAGTAAAATGTTGGTGATGAAATATTAGCTTTCAAGGCCAAAAAAAATGTGTAGGTATGTGGTGGATTTCTGACCAGCTTTTCCAGTGATATTGGTTTTGATGGGGAGGAAGATAGTATCTGTGTAGGGGAAGCAACTTATAAATGGCAGTTTAACATTGGGATCATGAAGAAAAGCAGTTTAGTCGTGATAGGACGTCGAGAAGATAAGCTTGGAAGAGACCATGAATGGGAT